CCTAAAAAGTGTTTTGTCTGCCTAGGCAGGGATGATCCAAGATGGAGAACAGAGTCAGCAAGCTCCTGGTCATTTCCCAACTCCAAATGGGGTATCTGAGGAGGTAGTTTGACGTTGCTACTAGAGTGAGACAGTGTGTTAGTCTCCCAGCTATTATTTTCCTTAAGAAATTCACCAGTGATAGAAGACATGGATCTCTCAGCAGGGAGTTCAGTTGCCAAACTTGAAACTCCATTCCTAGAGATTTCGGGCAGATATGCATTCCCAAAAGCAGGTAAACAAGATTGACCAGTGTTGGGGAGGACCTTTAACAATCGGTGGCGAGATGGTGCAGTGGAACCACTAGAAGGTCGAGGAGCTATAGGTGGGTGAGGTTTTATCTTGACAGCTTTCTTAGGCTAAAAGGAATGAATATACAGTTTCTTTACACAGTCGTTTTCTCTGCCCATTAACAAAAATTAGTGAAGGAAGAAAATGTTACTTACCATAACATACTGGCACTTTTACTATTCTCAATTTAAAATGTTTAAGAAAAACAAAATCTTAAGATTATGATAGGGAAGATGCTATCTTCCTTCACTGAGTATACTTTTCCAGTAATATTAAAGAAAAATAATTTTGTTTTATTTTGCTTACTACTGTTTCCCAGAGTTTTACTACAAAGAAAATGAACTGATTATATTAGATATGACATTGCTGACCTATTTTAGATCTCCAACAATTTTTCCTACTATGTTGAATAAATGTTTCATTGGATTGGTATACAGAAAAAAAGTTATCAACCCTAAAAAGAAAGAAAGAAAGAAAGAAAGAGTTAAAAGGCCTAAACCGCTATCCTTGAAAAGACTTGCTGGCAACACTGGCCTCTGGCTGGCTTCTGGGAACATCTATTTCAGGAGGTTCAGGAGGGTTCCCATGAACCTAACTGGTAAGAGTGGCTCATTGTGCCAAACTATTTATGCAATAATACAGTTCATGATGAACACTTGCTTTCCTTCTGGGAGCCTGAACTGCAAACACTAGGCAGAGGGTGCCTACATGAAGAGGCCCAGTAAAATCCCTGGGCACAGAGTCTCTAATGAGCCTCCCTGGTAAATAACATTTCACATATGTTGTCACGACTCATTGATAGAGGACTAAGCACGTCTCATGAGACTCCACTGAAAGAGGATTCTAGGAAGCTTGTGCCTGGTTTCCTCCAGACGTGGCTCTATGCACCTTTTACATTTGCTGATTTTGCCTTGTATCTTTTTGCTGTAATAAATCTTAGCAATAAGTACAACTATATACAACAACATACTACAGCCCTGTGAATCTTCCTATCAAACCATCACACCTGGGTTGGGTCCTGGGGCCCTCTGGCATAGTAGATTTTAATAAAAGTACCATAAAACTTCAAGATCTTATGAATAAAGTTGAGAACTAAACATTAAGAAATCTCAGCTCTTAAAAGTAAGCAAAAATGGTAGCAAGCAGGCATGAGGATGGGATGGAATATCTTATGACATACCAATGCTCCCACTTATAGAAAATATAAAATATATGAAAATATAAGAAGAGCTGGATAATTCAGTGGATACCAACTGAGGCAAGAAAAATTAGATGAGCTAAGAAAGAAGAACCTTAGAAAGATGAGCTGGCTCCTGTGGATGCTTTTATCCTGGAGATAGAGTTTCACTCTTGTCGCCCAGGCTAGAGTGCAATGGCACAATCTCAGCTCACTGCAACCTCCGCCTCCGGGGTTCAAGCAATTCTTCTGCCTCAGCCTCCTGAGTAGCTGGGATTACAGGCATCCGCCACCATGTCCAGCTAATTTTTATATTTTTAGTAGAGATGGGGTTTCTCTAGGTTGACCAGGCTGGTCTCGAACTCCCGACCTCAGGTGATTCACCCATCTTGGCCTCCCAAAGTGCTGGGATTGCAGGTGTGAGCCACCATGCCTGGCCCAATCTGCAATTCTTTATCCAGCAAAAAATTCTTCAAAAATGAAGGATATGACTTCTGAGCTGTCAAAATTAATGACAGCTGCCTAAAACTGAATTTCTCCATGCTCCAGAAAAACTACACATATCAACAGCATACACAAATAAAATCACTCATAACCCATGCCTCAGAAAAACTGGGAGACATATAATATGAACTTCAAAATATTTCCCAATCCAAGAAACTCATCTGCAAAGCCTATGCCTGTGGTGAGAGACAGGCAAGAGTAAGAGCTTCACCAAAATAAAACTTAAAAAAGCCGGGGAAGGGGGGAGTAAAAAAGAAAAGGAGAGGTTTGCATAACCTACAGCTGATGGAACAAAGAAAAATCCACAAAAGACAAAAATCCCACTTGATTATGAAGATACTAAAAATAGGTCTAAGATATGGGATATCAAACACACGCTACTGAGAAATTAAAAGGAATTGACTTTAGTTTTATGTGTATTTTTTGAGACAGGGTCTGGCTCTGTTACCCAGGCTAGAGTGCTGTGGACAATAATGGCTCACTGCAGCCTTGCCCTCCCAGGGTCAACTGATCCTCTGAGTAGCTGGGACTACAGACACACATCACCATACCAAAAAATTAGCTGGATATAGTGGCAGGACCCTGTGGTCCCAGCTACTTGGGAGGTTGAGGTGGGAGGGTAGCTTGAGCTCAGGAGGCGGAGGTTGCAATGAGTCAAGATCATGCCACGTATTACACCCCAGCCTGGGTGACAGAGCAAGACCCCATCTCAAAAGTGTGTCATTGATTTAAAAAACCTGCATTTCACTACACCAAAGGAAGAGAGTGCTTTTGAAATAAGAAACTTCCCTATACAAAATCCTCGCTTCTGTGTATTAATATATAACTGTTAATACTCATCTAAGTAAATAAAATTATGGAAAATACAGTTACAAAATAAACAGAAAAAGGCAGACCAAATCCATGTAAAGTTGCTATAAAAATAAAACAGAAAATGAGAATCAGACATTTTAGCTAATGAAAATGCTCCTTAAAACAATGAAACAAAAGAAAACTACATCACAATATCCCAACTTAAATTAAGTATCTTTAAGTTAGAATTTGCAGATATTTTTAAAAATCTCATCAAATCACAAATGCAAAAACTCAAGGCAGAATGGATAAAAGTAACAGGAAGATATGAAATGAGAGGTGAGCAAACCCAGAAATACTCTGCAGAAAACAAAATCATCTCAGAAATGAAGACTAAATTACAAGGTGCCCACAGAAGACTAGAATTCTACTGAACATTTAATAAAGAATACTGAAGAAAGGTATGAAAACAGCCAAAAGAATAAAAATAAAGAATGTAAAAGGATAAGAGAGAAGGTGCTTGTATATTAGACATAGAAGTTCTAACAGGGCAGGCAGGGTATCTCATGCCGCTGAGGCAGGAAGGTCACTTCAGTCCAGGGGTTCGAGGCTGCAGTGAGCTCAGGCTATGGCACCCCAGCCTGGGTGACACCGCAAGACCCTGTCTCTAAAACAAAACAAAACAAACAAACAAAAAAAAAAACGACGACGACGACGACGACGACATTCTAACTCATGTATAAAATAAGCACCAAAGGCCGGGTGCGGTGGCTCACGTCTATAATCCCAGCACTCTGGGAGGCCGAGGTGGGCAAATCACCAGTTCAGGAGATCGAGACCATCCTGGCTAACACGGTGAAACCCTGTCTCTATTAAAAATACAAAAAAATCAGCTGGGCGCGGTGGCGGGCGCCTGTAGTCCAACTACTC